CTAATTTATTTATAATAAACTAATAATTTTTATAATATTAATTTATTAATCAATATAATTTATTATATTTTCTAACTTTTTTTTGTAAAAATTAATAATACTTATTTTTTAATAAGCTTAATATATTTTTTATTTTTTAACTAATATATTTTATTAAAATTCTAATTTATTTCTGAATAAATTATTATTACTTTTGCTAGAAATTATATTCAAAATTCAATAAATTTAATAATAATATTATGTTAAATACAAAACTAATAATTTTAATATAGTATTTTATTTAGCACAAAACAATTTAAGACTAATACTTTTAATAACAATATTTTATTTAATATAATATAATTCAAAATTACTTATATACATGCTTTAATATATATAATTAAAAATAAAATAAATAAATAAATAATATTTAAAAAAGATTTTTGTTAAGAAATAATTTTTATTTTCTTGTTATATTATATTGAATTAAAATTCAGATAATATTTCTATTTATATATTTTTCACAAATATAAAACATAAAGTTATAAATAAAATTAAAAATTATAAAAAAAATTTATAAATTAAGATATAAATAATATATATTTAATTATTTTTAAAAATTTATTATTTTGTAACTATTTTTGAAAATTAAAGAAATTTTTATTATTATTATAATAATATTTTAAAAATTTTTTATATTAATTTTTGTATAAATTATAATTAATACAAAAATAAAAAAAATATTATAATAAAATTTTATTAAATTAATTTTTGTAAAAATTATAATTAATACAAAAATAAATAAATAAAAAAATATTAATTTTCTTATATTAATTATTGTAAAAATTATAATTAATACAAAAATAAATAAAAATAAAAATAAAGAAAAAGATATTATAATAAAAATTTTCAAAATAAATTAGTTATTTTAATATTTTATATTAATATTAAATATTTTTATATTTTTATACTAGATTAAAGTTTTTTAGTACTATTAAAATATAATAAAAATTATTATAACAAAATACTTAATTAAAAATAAAAATATCTAAATCAAAATATAATTTATTATAAAGTAAAAGTTTTTTATTAAAACTTAATTTAGAATAATTTTTATTATTTATATCTATAATATAAAATTAATTAAATAAAAAAATTATTGACAAGTAAGTTTAATATATAAATTAGAATTTTTATTAATTAAAATATGTATTTATTACTTGAAAAAGTTATTTTTATATATAAAATTTATAATTATACTGATTATATAACTTATATTATAATAAATATTAATTTAATATAATTACTAAATATTAAATTGGTGAAATATTAATTTAATATTATTTTAATATAAAATTAAGTATTAACTATTAATTTATTATTAAAGTATAAAATAAATAATTAATATTAATTAATATAAATATTGATTATCCAATAAAAATAAAATATAATAAATTATGTGATATATTAAAATTTATATTATAATAATATATAATACAATATGAAAAATATATAAAAAATTTAAAAAATTATAAATCTAATATTTTTTATATTCAAAAATTTATTAAATACTTTAATATTATTTAAACTTGATTTTATTTAATATTAATTATTAATAATACTAAACAAAATATTTTTATTTAATTTGCTTAATTAAAATAATTACATAATTAAATTACTAAAAATTAAGATATTATATTCTAAATTAATTAATTCAGTTTTTGGTGATTAATTTTTAATTAAAAATTAATTATCAAATAATAATTAGTTATTTTAAAATATAATATTTCATTATTTAATTTAACTAGATTTAGCAAATTAAATTATAGTATTTTTGCTCAAATTGAATTGCTAAATATTAAGATATTATATTTTAAATAATTAATTTATTGTATTTAAAGCATAAAATATAATTTCTAATATAAAAGCTTTATTAATTTATAAAAAATATTATAATTAGTATTTATAATATTTTTATATCAAAAATTTTTATAAAATAATATATAATTTTTAAAAAGTTATAAAGATTATTTATATAGTAATAATAAAAACTAATATAATACAAAAAAAATATTAATAAAATAAAGTTAAAATATAAAAAATATAATTTTTCTCTTTATATATATTTTTTCTCTTTATATATATGTTTTTACTTTTATAAATAAATATTTTTTATTTTTACTTTTATTAAAATAATATTTACAAAATTATTTTAATTATATATAAAATCAATAATTTTTTATATATATTTTTTTAAAAATTATTCAATTTAGATATAATAAAAACAATTTTATCAGATTAAATCTAAAAAATCTGAAAAAAATATATATTAAAATATATAATATTATTTTTAATTTGAGATAAAAATAAAAAACTTTTATTAATAAAATTAAAAACTTTTATATAAAAAGAAAAATTTATATTTTTTATATTTTATTATATTTATTAATATATTAACTATATTTTATTATATTTATTAATATATTAACTTTTTAACTTTTTTTAAGAAAATATTAAGAAATATATTTTAAATTAACAGAATTATATAAAAAAATAATATTTTTTATATTTTATTATATTTATTAATATATTAACTTCTTTTAAGAAAATATTAAGAAATATATTTTAAATTAACAGAATTATAAAGATATTAATTACAAATATAATTCAAAATTTAGCAAAAATTTACTAAAATTCTTTTAAAAAAGAGCAAGTATTTTGTAAATAATTTAAAGCTTTATTAAATTAATTAATAAATCTTTAAAATTTAATTAAAAAATAATTATTTCTATAAATATCAAAAAATTTTTAGAAAAAGAGCAATTTTTTCTGAAAATATTTGAATATTTTCAAAAAAAAGTCAATTTTTTAAAAAAATCTGGATAATTTTTTAATCTTTTTGAATTATTATTTCAGAGATTAAATTATTAAAAAATCCTTTTTTGAAGCTTTTTAAATATTTTTTTAAGTGTATTTTTATATTTATTTATTTTTAATAATATAAATATCAAATATATTTGGCTTGAAAATTTTAACATAATTTAGTAAAATATTTTGATAAGTATTTTTTTATTTTAAATTATTATAAATTTATATTTAAGTTTTTTTATTGCTATTTTATTGTAAATAATAATTCAAAATACTGTGACAATTAGAAATAATACAATAACATCAAAATTTATCAATTAACTATAGTAAAATATGAATTTTTCTCTTTATATTAAAGTTTTCAATTTTACTATGTATAATTAATAAAGAAGGTGGCAAAACACGGTATTCAAATATAAAGAAGTTTTCCTAAAAAAGATATAAAAAATTATCACGTAACCATTTTTATAGAATAAAAATATAATTTATTTTTCACACTTTAAATTGAGTATGAGTTAACCAAAAAGTTGATTTTCTTTACTTAGCACTTATCGTTATTGTAACTTAGTGATTCAGTGATAAAAGATTATTATAATACTTTTCATTTTTTAAAATTCAAATATTTTGGCATCAATTTGTAATTCTGCTTTTATTTTGAATTATTGTATTTGTATTCTCAAATAGTCGTTCATATACTGCTGGTTAAAGTTAAGTCACTAAAAACAATCATTGGATGGATATCCATGTTACAAGCTCGGATCTTCTGAATGACTTATTTTCAAAGTGCTATTGATGAAGAACTTTATACATGTACATGTACTATGATGGAAATCATCGTTTATATGGAGCGAACAGCTTAAAGACATCCAATATTTTTTTAAAATGCAAAGGATTTATGAACTTTCAATAAGTACTATCAAGTAACGTATTATATTTTAAAGTTTGATATATTTTTTATTGAGAGAATACAATTTAAATACATGTAATGCATTTTCAAAAAAATAATCACACTATGATCAATCATATTCAATTTTCTAAGTAATGATATGCAAAATTTTCAGCGCCTGTGACTAAACTGTTTGCACCATACCTAGCGCTAATTTCCAAACGAATTAAAATATGTGTTACATAATCAGACGTAAATACATGTACGTACAGTACATGTACTTATATCGATATCGATATATAATCAAGGACATAAGCACACGTAAACAATTACGATTATATTTATAATTGCATTTCAAACCCTCGAGTGGGATTCCATACTTCTTATGATTGGTATAGCTTTTGCATGAGATATCGTTCTTATTTACTGAATTCAATGCATAAATGATATTTGATTGGCTCTTTGAGATTAAGAAGTTTGTATGTTATACAGGACAGGATGTTTCCTTCATAACTAATACTGTTTCAAAAACTCTTAAATGGCTTTTATCAATGGCATTTTACGTAATGATTTGTGGAAATTTTAATAAAGCGGATAGAATGAATTTATCAAATTTTCATTGACCTGATGTTGACAAAATCGTGCAAACAAATATTTGATGTACGAAATACATTTACGTATACGTACGTGGAACATGTAATCAATTTACGAACATAATATGATCAGCTATAGACAATTTTATGTCATCACGTAAAATCTCAACGAATATGCTCGCTTACTTGATTGTTTTTTTGCCAGTATGTTCAAACTTCAGGAATTCAGCTCGGAAAAGAATTCGTTAATGCTGACCAAATAGCATTATATTGTACAATTTTTCTATTTTAGTGAAAACTTGAGCAAATTGCAATAAAGAACAAAGTGAAACATTTTTCATCTATAGAAAATTCGAACCAAGAAAAATTGCTTTTGTATACGTGTACCTTAACACGTTCCTAACAAAAATGCATGCAATAAAACATCAAACAAAATTGTTTGAATTCATTACACAGAGTTAAGATTTAAGCATCACCTCCAATTAAATCCTAGTCACAGTTGTATTTACGTACGTTTCCCTGCATCAAAAAAATGCAACTTGTCCACCAAAAAGCGTACGATCTTCGCTAAATAAAAGAGGGATTTCGTTTCCACGTAGCGGTAGATTTTATCCGTCTTTAGAAGTGCTTTAACATTCAATATTTGACATTCTTTTTACATGTATAAAACTTTAATGGATGAATATGAGAATTCTACTTCGCTTGTTGAGTACAATGTCGTTGAAGCATTTCAATTTATTAACGGGAGGAGATATCAAAACAGCAACGAACCAATCTATATGCTGTAAATTACTTTTCTTACAATATGGAATTTTTTATTTTCGGCTTATTCATAATTTTCTATTATTTACTTAATAGACCAATCGATAATATAGAAGCCGAAAGATTGCGTAAAGTGCATTGCCTTATGCGATTGATTTTTAAAGGGAATTTTTCATCTCCAATTGAAGAAGCTTTAAAATCTGGTGGCGTGAAAGTTTTAGACATTGGGTGAATGATTGTTATTATTAATCTGATTTTTCCTGTCTGTCTTTCTTTGAAACCTCATATCTTTTTATTGAACAAAGATGTGGCTCGGGCGCTTGGATCATGGATTTGTCCACCGAGAACTCATCATCCACTTTCGTAGGAATCGATATGGTGCCGATATTCCCCAAAAAATGTCCAACTAATGCTGCTTTTCTCCAATGCAACGTATTGGATGGTATCCCATTTCCGGACGCTACTTTTGATTTTGTGCATCAACGATCACTTCGTCTGGCATTCACTCTTGAGAATTGGAAGGCGACAATAGATGATATTCTAAGAGTTACAAAACCAGGAGGTTGGGTAGAATTTTGTGAATTGGATTTATGCATACGTAATATGGGACCAACTTTGAGAAAGATACTTAATGGAGGTAAAAATAATTCGATTATTAATTAACTACCCATTGTAAAAATTCTAGACTGAACAATGAGTATTTTAACAGCCACACAGTACCATGCGGGTGTAGGTGTTGAGCCATACGTGGTCCCCTTTCTGAAGCACATACTAGCTAAAACTGACAAATTAAAAGAAATTTATTTCGTCGAAACTTCAACGCCATTTGGATCTTGGGGAGGAAAGCTTGGGGAGATGGTAAAAATATCTTGAACTTATGATTCTCATTATTAAATTTGCAGAACCAACGAAACATATTTATTTTGTAGACATTTGATCTGATGGTAGAAGAAATTCAAGGCATGAACCCATTTATCACACCAATATTAGAAGTAACCAACGAAAAATTTTCAAAAATGATCGGTGAACTTGAAACGGAATCGAATGATTATGAAACAAGCTTTAGATATATAAGATGGTTTGGACAGAAAAAAGAATATTAAATCTAGAGAAAAGTAAAAAGTAAAATTTTAAATTATTTTAAGATACATTTATGAATTATAAAATATGTAATACATGTATACGTAACTTCTTCGATATATCAAATGAATACATTTCTGTCGCTATATCGAACGTAAACTTAAAATTAAAATCAATTAACGATAAATGCACAAAAATCTTTGAGTAATACATGTAGTTTAAACAACTATTAAGACTATCAATTAAAAATATAACAACAACATTTCAAAAATCTCTCATTTTCAAAAACAAAATGAGTTTTCAGCTGATGAGACCGATTACTCTAAGCTTCTTTGATCTTCTATAATTTGTTATGGTGCACACCACCATCAATAAATTGTATGTTTTAGTAAATTTTGTATTTACTTCCCAGTTAAGAAATTTATAGAATTTCAACATACAATTTATTGTCGTTTATCGATGAATTACACCAAAGAAAATATAAAAAATAGAAAATGAAAAAGTGAGATAAAAATAAATCTATTAAAAAATACAGTGAAACCGCATGCACCCCCTCTGGATCATAGTAAAAAACAGGCAGAATGTGCACTTAGAGAGGGTGTGCATTTATAGAGTAAAATACATATATATCTTGTAACTTGGAACCAAGCCATACCGTGCATTTAGAGAGAATTTATATAGTGCGCGCATTTATAGAGGGTGCACTTAGAGAGGTTTCACTGTATAAAGTTTGAAATTAGTCTTTTTATAATTCGTGAATGTAACAAATTTTTCTTTAATATATGGATAAAAGTGTAAATTACTTATAATTAATAAAATAAAAACAAAAATACATTATTATGATTTATTTTATTTTCTGAGCATGATGAGAAATCAAAATTTATTTTTGCTATAGTTGTAATGCTTTCCTTTAACGTTAAATTATTTTTACGTACTGAACTATGATAACTGCAGATATTGATTTGTTACGCGTAAGAATTCACATGAAAAATAACGTATGATAACGCTTAGAACATACGTTTGATGTCTTAAAAAAAGTGCTTTTATTATTACACACACAAAATAGAAGTTGTACTTTGATCTCTGTCATAAAAGGTTTCTTTTAACGTTATACATGTCATCTAACCAATCATCATAGGTGTAGTAGTTAATCGGTGATTCTACCATAATCACTAAACCATTTTATAAAGTCTAATATTTCGGCTATGTATGATTGTATAAATGTTATTGTGTCAAGAATGTAATTACTGCAAAGGATGTTCAGATCATAATAAGTCAAGGTGTTTTAAAATTTATAAATGTTCTAACGAGTAAAAGAATGCGCGGAAATTACAAAATCTTATGAAGTGAAGCATCTTTTGAATGAATTCCTTTTGAATGGTGAGCATCTTGCAAAAGAAGATTTTGGACCAATTTACATGTACATGTATAAACTAACCTGGCCTGGACAGACCATTACGTCATGTTAATAATCCGAAGAATATGAATTTATAACAATTCCCAAGTATAAGTTTTTGTTTTTTTGATTTTCTAATACAGTAATCACCATAAGTATCTGATTGTTCAAAATTATAGTACAATGATTATCCAAATTTGAGTTTCTAAATTAAAAGCAAAACTTGCACAGAGTAAAATTATTTCTTATCTGAATTTGTTATAAAATTGGTAAATAATATATTATATTATATAACTACACTTATAAATTCAAATAACTAAAATAACTATATAATATACTAAATATTATAATTAATTATATAAAAAAATAAAAGTTAAATTTGCTTATTTGTAAATAAAATTAAAGATAATTAGATATTTATTACAATTATTATATAAAGTTTTTTGATAATAAAAAATTATAATACTTTAGTTATAACGAAAAAATTATTGTTATATAATTCCAATTTTAATATTAATTATTTAATATGCTTTTTGAAATTATATATGTATTAATTAAAAATTCAGTTAAAGTTAGAAAACTAATATATATCAGGATATTTGGTGTTCATCCTAAATCTGCGTGAGGGACTTGTTTATATTGTTCGATGTAGTTAGTTACCTTGAGCTTTGATTTCTATTCGTTTGGTGGATATATGAGATTGATATTAGAAAAACAAGAATGAGTATAAATGAGAATAAAAAGTTGCTTTAGCTGCATCTTTATTCAATTATTGTTCTACTTTGATTTATTTAAATAAATTAGTGTTTTTTATTCTAACTATCACATTGCTAAGTATCAGTATATTAAGGGGCTTCTCTTTATTTTTTATTATAAATTATTGTAATGAAATGACGTGTTTTATTGCGTGCTTATAATAGCGTGCCTCTGATAATAATATTACAAATCCTCTTTCTGTAAAAGCACGATTGTTATACAATAACATAATGAATTATATTAAAATATAAATTTTAGTTTTTTGCCAATAATTATGCATCACAATGGAAAAAATAATAGTGTTAGTTTACATTAAAGCAAAATTCTATGTACATGTTCTATGGTGCATAACATCTAAAGTCATCAAATATTGTATTTTATAGAATGTATAAACTTCTTTACTAAGAGGCAAATACAAATTTTAATCCATGAATATGCTCAGAAAGGGTTTTCTATCATATACACGAATTAAAATTTGTATTTACTTAGTAAAGAAGTTTATACATTCTATAAAACACAAACGTTTGATGACTTTAGATGTTATGCACCATACGTATTATGATCATCACTAGTCGGACTGTAATCATGAATTCAAAGGTCAAATGCAAGATACGTAATATTCTTCTTTATGCATGTCATCTATTCAAACATTGTAAACGTTAAGATGATTTACGGAAGTTTCTTTAATTAATCTACGTATGCTTATTAAATGTATAATGACGATAGTTCTTAATTTCTGGTGCAGAATCGACACATAATTGTAAAATTTACTGTAATTGCATGCATTATCGTTATAGACAATTACGTACGTGTACTGTATTTGCATAATAAAAATCTACGCATATTATACATGTTCTTTATTGCGTGCATATTTTATCGTAGCTTAGGATCATCGTTTCTGTATCGAAATTTCAATGAGTAGTACGTATTTGCAAGACGCATCATAAAAGAAATTTTATTCCTGACTATGGATGCTAATGCTTGTTTTACTGCAGCGAAGTCACTCGAATTGGGAGAATAAAACGAAGAGACTATTAGTTCATAATTTCTAAAAAAAACCTACCATAATATGATGCACTGCGTAACCCGATCCAATTATAAATACATATACCGAATTCGCTAATTTCACATCTGCCCACCAAACAAACACTTTGCAAATTCATTATGAAGTATCTTACTTTAATATTTATTCTCACTATTGTAACCTTCAGCAGTTTCGCTTTTGCTCCAGCGCCCCTGAAATACGTTGAAACCAAAAGATCACCTTTGGTAGCGAGGGATAGTGTTGTTGCTGTCAGTATTTTAGAAACGCGACTACCATCAATAACACCACTACCATCAATACCAGTACTATTATCATTAATAACACCACCATTACAATCAATACCAGTACTACAAGCAAGCAATGGTGTTTCTATTTGTACACTACCATCAATATTACCACTATATGTACCATCACCACTACCATCAATACCACCACTACCATCATTATCAGCACTACATACGTACTAAAAAAGTGTGATTTTAAAGAGTTTGCAAAGGTCCCATTTTCTATGCTTCATAATAGCTGGAACTATAAAAAGGTGTAATTGTAGAGAGTTTGTGATGTAGGATCTGATTGTAGAGGTATGACTGTCCCAACGCACGGGCAGAAAACCATAGAAATACTGACAGCATCAATACCAACAACAGAAATATACCAATAGAATCAATACCAGTAACAGAAAATCTACCACTATCAACCGTCAAAACACCAATTTAGGGTACTTTTATGCTTTTGAAAATTTGTATATCCACTATGTAATAAACTACAATATTATCATCAATCCAATACATAGTTGCTGAAATGAGTTGTTTTGATATACATACGTCTCTCATGTTCTTCTAAATGGATTTGTAGAATCTTGCTTTATAACGTGTGAATAGAATTCTTATACTTTTGGATCGTATTCATTGATTTTTTGCGAAAATCTTTCTTCTGTGTTTGTTGCCAATTCTTCGATAAAAGCCGTAATTATAAATCATGAGATAAATACATTTTTATAAATGTCTGCGTGTTGTAAAAAATTACAAATTGCTTTTTGATGTGTCTAATCACAGCCAAGGTGTTCTGTGGTAGTCTTTAATTTACTAAATCGATTTAAATTCAGCCACTTGATGAATAACGAATGTCTTTCACTCATTTAGATGTAACTCATCACTTTATCAACCGAAAATATCGCAAAGTATTCGGTTTCCTCTCTCACGGAAATAGTCGTCCGTGTAGATAAAATATATAAAGTTTCAAGTTGACTTATTTTCCGGAATTCCAAAAAAGTCACGTGTACTAACAGATCGGCAATTTGAGAAAACCCAAATTCTTTAGTTCTCAGCTCTATGTAGGTTGTATAAGAGCCAAGTCAAGCCGAGTTCGGAATTTGCTCTAATTTGACTTGTTTTTAGAAGTCAGAAAGAGTCAAGTCATATTTCTAACTCGGCTTGTATTGGCTTGGCTCGCAGGGCTTAGAGTTACTCTAGAGTTCAAACCAAAGATAAAAAACATAGTTGTGAAGTTTATTACATGCAAATACTCGTGGAGCCAAGTCACATCTCTGATTCGGGCTCGTAATGACTCGGCTCGCCTTAAATAAGAACCATAAAACCTGAGTCTGGCTCTGCCTTTACGAGCTGGCTCGAGCTGCTTCAGCTCTTTCGGACAGCTATTGTCATGTTTAATAAATTTCTAGGTATCCACCTTTGGTTATGCTTCATCTCATGAAGCATTGCAAGTTCTACTATGGTTTTGCGTTTTGTGCCTTTTGGTTGACCAGACGTACCTGGCATTATCAATATGTTACATATCGATAAATAAACTTCTTAGAATGATCAAAAAGCCTATTCTATCGGATTAATTTATAATGCTTTTCGGTTTTTATTATTAAATAGTGTTAGGAACCCTCCACATAAGAGAGCAAGTCTTTTCGAAAAAAAAAACAGGTAGTTTACATGGGAACGAGAGAATTTTCTAATTAACAAATACTACGGTATTAACGTTAAATTTTATTATCGTCATAAACGATATCGATATAATTTATGTTGATGCTTCGCGTTTAATAACCTTGACCAACAATGGATGTTTCATTGGCAGTAAAATCGACGTTGCATATGTGATCATTTTTTCACTGGTCACCAGTTCAAAACGATAGTTTTTAAGCATCATTGATAATAGCGTTAACGCTTCGATTGTTGCAAATTCCTGCCCAAGACTTGTAAAAGATGCATATGGTCAAACATGACAATCGATAAAAAGAAGCAACGACTATAATAGTATGCTAATAACGCTGACTTACCATATTCGTGGTCCAGCATTGAAAGCGATAAGCTTGTACGAACTTGGCTTGACAAATTCACCAGAGTTCAAGAATCGCTCTGGTTTAAATTCGTCAACGTCTTTACCCCAGACGCGCTCGTCTCTACCCATTGCATACGGAACCCATAGCAGCATATCACCAGCGTTTACTGGGACGCCTCCAGGTAAGATATCATCCTTTGCCGTAGTCTATGCAAGATCGATTAGAAAGATACTTTTACATAATAATACTATAGTAGTCATTTACCTTAAAATTTAGTGGCACACTTGGATGTAATCTCAATGTTTCAGTCCATACTGCATAGGCGTATGGGAGTTTTTTAACACGTTCATAGTCGGGAACCGGATTCTCGGGCGTAATGAGCGAGTCAAATTCTTTTAATAAATTTTTCTCGACTGAAGAATTTGTCATTATTCTATACGTCATCCATGACAAGGCCTACAAAACAAGTAAACATTTCAATATTTTATTAATATTTTAAAATTATATTAAATATTTTAAATCCAGAATTACTTACAACTGCTGTAGTATCTCGTCCTAGAATATTAATTAAAATTATTAATGTAAATTTTTCTTCGTACATGTATCAAGTTCACGTTTAATTATTCACCCACCAGCTACGATCAAATTAAGAATAATATCACGCAATTCTTTATCACTCAAAGTTTCTCCATCAGTATATTTAGTATCCATAAACAATTGCAAGATATCCGTGGGATGTTCCGTATTTAGAGGCTTCCGTCGTCGCTCTCGAATAACATTATACGCGTAATCATCAAGTATTTTCCAATGCTTGCGATTTTTTCGTCCGAACATCTCTAGAATTGGCCATAAAGGATTAAGCAGGCGCCTTTTAATTGTTTCTTGAACACGATCGAATGCAACGGCGAAAAGTGGCAAGTTCTCAGGATTAGTTAGAGTGTCGAGATTTTGACCGAAGCAGATTCTAATAAGATATATAATTTAGTCCGCGATTTAATGTTAAATTACTTTTCTGTGATCGTCGTCGTTGCTTACTTCATGAAAGCGTCAAAAGTGAAACGAAAGAATAGATTTTGAAGATCTATACTTTCCCCCGTCTCGGCTGCTTTTGATAAAATTCCGAGCACAGTTTTTGAGTGTTCTCCAAACTCACGGCAAATTATGGCACGAAAGTTTTTTCCTTGAAAGATTTGGCTTGTAATTCTTCGTTGGACTTTCCATGATTGCCTATTATTGATGCAAAAACACGAATGTTTATGTTTACGTATTCAAAACAAGAAAATCAAAATATTGATTTACTATCGATTTTACCCTACCCATCAACGTTGAAAATACCACTGCCAAATAATTCTGAAAGAAGACGATAAAAATAAGGACCCTTTGGATAATTCAGAAAATTATCTTTCAACATGTGTTCGATCAATTCCGGAGTATTGATTACAACAAATCGTCCTACACCCGGTAACGTATATGTGCTAATAAATGAACAAAATGAATCAAGAATTTAGCAAATAGCGATAATTGACTCTCAATACTATTTAATCTAGTTTTTTGTAAGCCCTCCGGGGAGTTAACTATAATTGGATTTAATATCGCATTAAAACAAATACTAACTATATTTCACCATATTTTTTAGTCATTTCAAGTAAGGTGTCATTAAATCTGTCCGCCTCAAGCAAAGTCAAGAATAGGTTGCCGACTACTGGAAGCCCTTTTGGCCCTTTAAGATCCGGTCTTGCTCTTGTCCCGATTGCTCTATTCGGATACTTAATTACCAGATATCCAATTAGCAATGATAAACCGATCAAGGAATAGGGGAAAATTAAGTCTAACATGGTGGTGTATCTGTAAAAATATTTATTTAGACAAAATGCTGCATTTGTAGCAGGAATACAACTCTTTAAATATCAATTCGACCAGGTAGTTTATTAATGATTTTACTGATTACTACATAATTGAAATCTGTGGGAAATTTATAACAATAAATCATCGATCGTAATTAGGCGCGTAATCGACGTTTTAGAAATGTCACACTAAAATCCATTTATTATAGAGATGTATGATGATCAAATTTTTCTATATATAGTAAAAATGCAATAATTACTTTGCTCTTATAACAAGTGCATTACATTTAAATCAAAAAAGACACTTTTTATTAATAAACTTTCGTTACAAACCTTTTATCTATTAGAAATATATGTTTTTTTCTTAACGGACTAAAACTTTTATGAAAATCTTAATTTGAAATATAACGATTATAATGTTACACAATATTATTTTGTATTAATATTAACGTTAACGTTAAAAAAATACAATCACGCACACATACACACGCACGCACACACCCCCACACCTCGCACCCACATCCATACCATTATAATATGAATTCAACATTCTATACTGACTCTTTTATTAATGATGACAGTGTAGATTATATGTCTTCATCAGATTCAGCTACTATAATTCAGAAAGCAAGTTATCATTAATAAATAAAGCATTTGATTTTGATTTTCTCGAATGAAAGTATAGCAACACTTAACGTTGCAGTATATGTCATATTCAATATACGTAGTTTGATGACCATTGAAAAATTATATACCAAACTGTTCCGATAATAAACACCTGTAAAAAATTTGAATATAATTTGACCTTTTAATGAAACTAATTGTGTTTTCACAAAATAAATAAATTACGAGTCAATATTATAATTTCTTAAAAATTTTAGTCACTAAAATAATAGTTTAAATTTTTCTACAAATAGAACAGTATTATTTTCTTTTATTCTTTATAATTATAAAACATTAAATTAAATTATTTAGTATTCTAGTCTATTATTTAATAGTTTACTTCAATGTATTTTATTTATATATTTTAATAGTTACTTAAATGTATTATATTGCAAAAATCAAAAAACATAAATATAAAAAATCAACAATTATATATGTAATAGTTTATTTTTAGACTTTACAAATTTTTAAAGAGATACTTAAAAATAAAAATAAAATTTAACAATATAATAATATAAATTAAATTTTAAAAACATTAATATCAAATTATAATTATTATTATTATTATTTTATTATTATTGTATACTATTTGGATTTTTGATAATGATTTTTCCAGTATATTTTAATTCTATTTTCATCTCAGTCTAGTTCTTCCATTATCTTTTTAATTGTTTCATTAGATAAAATGTTTTGTTGTTCAAATGCAAATATGTACATCAATATTGCTTTTTCTGATTCTGTTGTTATACGTCTTTTATGTTTTATTTAATTCAGATGAAATTTTTGAATTTTTTTTATTTTTCTTATCTTTAATAAAAGTTGATAAACTTGAATATTTGTAATATTGAAGAGTTAGTGTTCATCTTCCAGTTGTATTTTGTGTTTTTGTTTTATAAATATCTTCTTCTAAAATTGAAATAAGACAAGTAATTCCAGTTT